GGGTTCCCTGGGTGACTCTGGGGGGCCTCCGCCCCCCAAGAGGGCCAAGGCCTCTGGGGGCCCGCGGGTTGGGGCGTCATGGGTTGCCCGTGATGCCGCCCCCCCCGACCGCCCCCTCTCCGCTCAGGGTCCTGTTGATTCGCGTAGCGCCCGAGGGCACGTCATCCTCCTTGCTGGAGGTACTCTTGCATTCTGCCGCTGTTGTGGCGCCCGCTGGCAGCCCTCCGCGCCTCGGTCGCGTCTGTGGGGTGAATGCCAAGGGTTTGCATCCAGCAAGGACTCTACTTATCTAAAAGCCCTCGAGGTGGGGAAAGATCCCATCTCGGGGGAATGGAGGGGCGAGCCTCGCCCACTCATGGTCTCGGATGAAGCCTGCTTCTGGCTTCGCCTTCGGTAATTCGTGTGACGTTTTACTTGCCAGGCGGCCCCTGTCGTCCTCTGGTTTCGTTTCATCGACGAGATGCGCGTGCTCGCCTTTTCCGTCCGTCTCGGCCTTTCTTTTTCCCCGCTCGGCGCGCTCGAACTCGATTTGGTGGTGCCTCCTCCTGCTCCTGCTCCTGCTCCTGCTCCTGCTCCTGCTCCTCCTCCTCCTCCCACTATCCCTCCTCCTCCACCTCCTCCTCCTCCCCCCTTTCCTCCTCCTCCTCCTCCTGCTCCTGCTCCTGCTCCTGCTCTCTCCTCCTCCTCCTCTCCTCCTCCTCCTCCTCCTCCCTCCTCCTCCTCCTCCCTCCTCCTCCTCCTCCTATTCCTCCCACTATCCCTCCTCCTCCACCTCCTCCTCCTCCCCTCGTTCTTCCTCCTCCTGCTCCTGCTCCTGCTCCTGCTCCTGCTCCTGCTCCTCCTCTTCCTCCTCCTCCTCCTCCTCCTCCTCCTCCTCCTCCTCCTCCTCACGACGCTGGTGCCGACACCGTCGACGACGAGAACGACGGCGAGAACGAGGGCGAGGACGGAGAGGAGGGCGGGGAGGAACAGGAAGGGGAGCACAGTCGACCCGTTACGTACGGATGCGCGGCAAGGATGCAAGGGGCATTGGAGGCCCATGTGGACGTTTTTCGAACGAGGCTGGCCAGCGAAGGTCGCTGAGGATGGGCCGACGGGGCAGGGAAGCAATGGTACACTCGAGAAGGTTGCCCATCCTTACTATGCGGGCTGACTGTACCTACATGACGATGTCAAGGAAAGTGGGCAAGATGGAGGAAGACGACGATGGGCGACGAAAGGCTGCGCCGCCGACGTCGGCGAGAAAGCCGCCCAGCCCGACGCCGACGTCGACGACGACGGCGATGGCCCGAGCCCAGACCGCCGGGCGTCCTGAGCGGGGCGTCGGGCGTTGTGCGCGAGCGACGCAATCGACGGTGCGGAGGAGAGACGCTCTCGGCAATTTTTGCCTTTTGTCGGCACGACTGCGTGTCCCGAGGGAAACGGGACCTTGATCAGGGCGCGAGCTAAACAATGTTTGCCGAATCCGTTCGGCTTTCGGTTTCTCTCGTGTTGCCTTGGTTCCGCCTGTGCTGCAAAACAAAACCAAACAGCTGCCCACGGAATCGCCGAAGCACCGTTTGGTTCGAGCCCTGTCCTGGATCCATTGGCCTCTGTCGCCATAAAGAAAGGATCCCGAAGGCAACGGGCCCTGGATTCAGGAGCTTTTGCCGCAATTGCAGGGGGCGGGGTCTTGAGGGGCACGGACCCTGGGACTGTTCTCCCGTTGTGCTGCCCCCCCCCCGGGACCATCCCTGGGGCCGCGGGAGGAAAGAGGATTCTTAGATTGGTTGCCGTTGTGCAATGCTGGAGCTCGCGGAGGGTCCAGGGAGCTCTACAAAAACAACAACACCGCAACGTGCGAACTCCCCCCTGCATTGTTCCATGCGTCGGGGCTCTGATGATCCGGATCTCCCGCACGAAAACGGGTTCCCAACACTTCTGACAAGGCACTTGTGAGGAACCGAACCTTACACACCGATCCTTGTTGCCGGTCCCGCACTGAGATCCGCACAAGAAAACGGATTCTGGTGTATACGGCATCCTGGTGTATACATATGTTTTTGTTTCCAAGAGAAACGGGGAAACAAGTATACACCACACCACCCCGACGTCGTCCCCGACCCTCAAAAAATCCTGGGATTGAAAAACAACCCGCCACTGGAAATGTATACGTTCCAGTTTCCGAACTTGGCCATCTTCAAATCAATTTCTCGGGACTTAACCTTTGGGCCGTTTTGGCGACCTCTTGGTTGAGGCTCTCTTGGGCCGTCCGAGGGCCTCTGAGGGCGCCCCTGCGAGTTTCTTGGCGCCTCTTCGGGGCCCTTCTGGCGCCCCTGCAGAGGACTTCTCGGATCCCTTCTCTCGGGAGCGGCCAAGAGGGGGGCGTCCAAGACGGGGGGGTGCAAATCATGGCCGGCGTCACGTGCGCGGCCCAGGGCGGGGGCCAGGGACGTCATGAAGTAAGGAGAGGCGCCATGAAATTTGGGGTGATGTCAGGGCCCCCGCCATGATACCCCCCCCCCTAGTCCTGACCCCCCCTCTTTGCCGCCCCCGATTCTCAGGCCACCAAGAAGCCCTTCTGAGGCGATGGCGAAACGAGACCCCTGCTCTTTTTGTTCTCTGCTACCGCAGCGAATGGTCGCGTCCAGCCAAGCCTAAGACTCAAGACCGACTCCAGCGAAGACGATTGAAGAGGAGAAACGGCACACAAAAATGCCGCTGCAAAAGTTTGAACCTCCGGCCGGAGAGGATCACGGATCGTCGGCACGGCGCGGAACCCCGGAACTGCTCTCGACTCGATCCCACGGACAAGGCGTGCGTCGCGGTCTCAGCTTTTCCATGGACCCGGGGTCCCAAGCGGGTCTTCCGATATCCAGAATTTGGAAACGGCGTCCGTCGAGGCTGTTCCGCGACGCCTGGCGGTCGGCGCGGGAACTTAAAGTGGTGAAGCTAAATCCCACCAGCCCTCTGGGCGACAGATGGTCTAAGGAGACTCTTCTTTCCTCTTCCAAAAACCCCTTCTTCCCCTTCGGGGAAGGGTTTATCACTGTTCCCTATTAGTATACACCCCCTCCCCCAGGCGACTGAGAGCCAACCCGAGACCATGCGGGCACCCCCACCATCCCACATAAAAAACAATACAAAACACACTCTGCCTCCAAATTCGGAGCATGCGCAGCGAACCCGATGCGGCCTCCCCCACCTTCCCTACCAAACAACTACACAGAGTACACTTGGCGGCGGCGGCGGCGGCTGCAGCGGCTGCGGCGGGGGAAGCGGCTGCGGCGGCTGCGGCGGTGGCGGCGGCGGTGGCGGCGGCGGTGGCGGGGGCGGCGGCGGCGGCGGCGGCGGCGGTGGCGGCGGCAGCGGTGGCGGCAGCAGCTGCAACGGCAGCGGCTGCGGCGATTCGGCGGCGGGGGCGGCAGCGGCGGCGGCGGCAGCGGGGCGGCGCGGTGGCGGCGTCGGCGGCGGCGCGCGGCGGCGGCGGCGACGGCGCGGCGGCGGCGGCGGCAGGCGGCGGCGGCCGCGCCGGAGGCGGCGGCGGCGGATTCGCCCCCAGTAGCTGCCCATCCAAAGACGACTGCTGAATATGCTGCGGCTCGGGCCAGGCTCGGGTGCTACGTATGTGTTGGGAGGGCGGGTGGGAATGAGCGAGACGGCTTGCGGGCGGGGAGGGAGTCTTGACCCCTCTCCCTACCCCCTCCCCTGGACCTGGACAGGGCGTTTCGTGAGGAGTCCGAGCGTCCAAGATGGCTCAAGATGGCTCCAAGTGGGCCTCAGGGAGACCAAGATGGCCTCCAATATCGCTCAAGTTAGCCCAACATGGCTCAAGATAGCTAACAGCATGTCTCCAAGAAGCCCCAAGAGGGCCACAAGACGGATCCAAGTGCTCTCGGGAACCCCTCAGAACACCTCCAAGTGCCCAAAGTCCTTCAAACACCTAAGGAACATTAAAGAGTTGTGCCTTCTCGCCGTTTCGATTCCGATGCGCTTCTGAGGCCTCAAAATGGCCCCAAGATGGCACAAGAAGGCCCCAAGAGGGGCCCAAGAGGCCCCTAAGACGGACCCAAGAGGGCCCCAGGAGCGCCCCGAGAGACGGTTTTGAGGGCTCCAGAAGGGGGGCGGATTTGATCGATAGCCTCCAAGATGGCCCCAAGAGGGCCTCCAGGGCTTCAACGAGGGCCCCAAGGGGGCCTCAAGAGAGCTCCAAGAGGGCCCGAAACTGGCCCCAAGTCGGCCCCACGAGCACCCAAGAGCGCCGCAAGAGAGCCCCACGAAGCGGTTTGCCGGCTCCTCAGGGGGGAGCTGAGTTGGGGACCCCCCCATCCTTTAATCGATGGTCTCTAAGATGGTCCTAAGAAGCTTTCCAAGGTTCCCAAGAGAGCCCCAAGAGGGCCCCCAAAGCTCCCAGAGAGCACTACCATCCGCGTCCTCCGCGTCGTTTCTGGATGGGCTTGTGGCGATACGCGAAGCGTCAAACATTCACACTAAACCGTGTGACTGTCTCCCTCCCTCTCTGTCAAGCGAGCGCCCGACATAGCTAGTTTGCCCTACAACACCACTTCGTGATTGAGATCGGCCGTCCGTCCACGCGCGACGGCGGCTCGCGCTAATTGACACGGTGCCAAAACTATATTCGGCCCGTGTTCTCCGTGAAATCATGTCGCCAGCCAGGTCTCAAAACCAAGATTGGCTCGGACACGGAACTTGAAAAATCATAGATATCCCTGAAACTTGTTGGGACATGTCGACACAGCCTTCAACGGGTTCGCTTTTCATGGAGACCCGCTCGGCCGCACACACGTAGTCGGTCATCTGAGACTGGCAGCACGGCGGCGACTAAAGAAAACACTGGCAGGGTTGCGTGCACGATTGAGCCGATTAACGTATCAATACCGAGCCGCGAGCAACAGAGTTCAGATCGCCGAACCCTGAACACTGACTGTTCTCCGGGGAGACTGTATGCTCTGTTGCGCACATGGTTTGTGTGCTCCCACACCCAGCGTGACGCAAAAACCTCATAAAGTAATGCTTGCCGAACTTCGATGTCGACGCGCGGAACGGGTCCAGCGGGCACCGGCACGTGGTCATGTTCCTCCCCTTCGTCTTCTTCTTCTTCTTCCTCTTCCCCCTCCGACTCCTCCTCCTCCCCCTCCGCATCCTCCTCCTCCTCCTCCTCCTCCTCCTCCTCCTCCTCCTCCTCCTCCCCCCTCCTCCTCCTCCTCGTCCTCCTCCTCCTCCTCCTCCTCCTCTCCCGCCTCCTCCTCCTCCTCCTCCTCGCCCTCCCACCCTCCCTCCGCACCCCCCCGCACCGCCGCCGGGAAGGCACCGCCACGCACTGCAGGGCTCGAGCGGCTCGGGCCCGCCTCGGCGCGCGACGCGGGCGCTGCACGCCGCGCGGGCGCGCGGCCGCGGCCGGCGCGGCCGCTTTCGGGGGCCGCGGGCGCGCCCGCGGCGCCTCGCTGGGGCCCGCCGGGGCTGGCGCTTGCGCTGCGGCGCAAGGCCTCCGCGGCGCCGCTCGCGGCCTCAGCCCGCCCCCCCGGCGGGCCGCCGCAGGAGCCTCGGCAGGCAGCGCGGCGGCCGCGAGCGCCGCGAGGAGCAGCGCCAGCGCGCCCGCGCGCGCCGGCGGCTGCTTCGGGGCGGCGGGCAGCGCGAGGGGGGAAGCCGGCGCCCCGCGGCGGCGGGCGCGCCGCGCCGTCCTCCGCGGCGCGCGCGCAGCGCGGGGGCCCCGCGACTGGCGGGGCGCCGCCGAGGCGCGCCCGTATGGCGGCCGCCACCTGCCGCAGCTGCGGCAGGTGGCCGTCGGGCACCTTCAGGGAAACAAAAAGTGACATCAACATAAACACTCGGAGGTCCGCGCGGATTTCTCGGATCGGTGCTGGGGCCCCCCGGCGGCGCCTCCGGCGCCGCACCTGGCGCGCTCTGCGCGCCAGGGAAGGGGGTCCAGCGCGGATCCGAGAAATCCGCGCGGACCTCCGAGTTTTTATGTTTATGTCACTTTTTGTTCCCCTAGCCTCGGCCTCGGGCAGGTGACTGACGTCGGCCTGGATCCCGACGAGGTACCAGAGGTCCTCGCCAGTGTGCGTGCGGCCCACGGTCAAGCCCCTCAGATCCAGAAGGTTCAGGAAGAGCTCGCCGCTCTTCTTCCGATTGGTGATCACCCCCGTGAAGGGCTGCCCCGTACTGCAGGCCCGGCGCAGGCCCGCGACGGTCGCGAGGTCCAGGCCGCAGTCGCAGCTCAAAAAGCGGCAGTTGACGCCGAGGATCTCTTCGCTGCGGAAACCAGTCATGGCCTCGAAGCCCCGGGAGACCGCGATGAGCGGAAAATCTGGCAATCTGGGGTCGGCCACCGTGACGCAGAAGGAGCACTCCACGCACGCTGCGGAGACGGCCTCCCTCAGCGCCTCCTCCTCCAGCACCTGCTGCGCGAGGACGTCGGCCTCCGCCGTGCACTGCCGGCTGGTGACGCCGGTGGACGCGCTCGCGAGGGACTCGGCGGAGATCTGCGTGAGGAAGTCGCCCCAGCCGTCCGCCTTGTCGATGCCGTCGTTGTCGTCCGCGCTGGGCTCGAGGCGGCCGAGGCCGACGCCGCAGGCGGCCGAGGCGTGCGCGCCCGGGTCGAGCTCGGCCATGGGGCGTTCGCGCTGGGCCCGGCGCCCGGCGAGAGTGACCTATCAATTGCGGGAGGCTCGTTCGCGTATAGGGGGGCCGCTTGGCGGCGCCGCGGCGCGAACGACAGTCCTGAGGAGAAAGTTGGAAGCCAGAATATTACCACATCTCACCGAGATCGGGATCTTTCTTCCCTCGGTGGAGGAACAGCGCCGATATTGGTGTTGGTGTCAACCTCTATAGGCCTGCGAGAGAGCGACGTCATTTCGAGCGGGAGCGTTGGTTTTGCTTGGGGCCGTTTTCCGGCGCCGGGCGAGAGCGCCAGTCTTGGGGACGAGCAGGAGCAGCAGCAGCGGGGCGAGGAAGGGGAGGGCGCTCGAGAGTCACAGGGACGAGGGACCGATGCCATTCCCGACGATCAGGGGCAAGGCGCGACGGAGATGCTGCCCAAGGCACCGTGCGCGCCGCCACGGAGCGGAATATTGACATCCACAATCAGGGACCCGTAGACCCGGACACGCTAGACCCGGACACCCAACATTCCTCGAAACCAACTTTTCCAAACGGCGGCACGAACAAAGTACTGCACTGCAGCATTTCCAGAATAAACCCGGACACAGGCCTCAAAAAGCCTGCAAGACCCCCCTAAACCCGGACACTATCCCGAATCCTGCAGTGCAGCAAACAAAACATGCACGGGTGCTGAAAAACGCAACTTTGCAGGAAACGATGTCGTTTCCTTGGTTTTCCGTGTCCTGGTTTATCTATGTTCTGGTTTCCGGGGGCCTGACACAATTTCTAGAGCCCTGCCCCGGATGTCTGGGGGACTGTGGATATGGATACTTTACCGCCCTCACGTACGGCAGATATGCATACCCGCCGGTTGGAAGAAGTGGGTAGAAGCATGAAGCAGGAGGGCATTGGAAGTAGTTTTGGCTTCCGGCTGCCCCCTGAAGAGGAAAGAACATAAAAAACAAATGGATCCTTGAAGTAAAGGCGGCTACAATATATTGAAATCTGGGCATTCAAGAATACAAACTTTCAACGACCGATGGGCATCACCCAGGGCGCGACTCCGAGGCGGAGGAATCAATATACTGCGTCTGGAAAACACGCCGCGGGTAAGCCAATGCCGCCTGCCAAGCCTTCTCGAACCCATCCTGGGAAAGCGCTTCGAACGGCACTCAGAGCAAATGTTTCATTATTCGCGATCACGCCGGTGAATAGCCCCCCTGTCCTCCCCCTCCCCCCTGGTCGCGTCACCATTCGTGCTGGCTCCGTCTGAGAATGAGCCATTCCCAGGACTTCCCAGACGTCGCCAGCGCGAATCGCGACGTCACCAGCCCCCCCCACGGTCACGCCCGCTATCCCCAAGGAATCAAAATAGCTCTCCTAGCCTCATGGCGACAACTCCTCTTCCGACAACGATCAGCTCGTTCGACACACTCGCGCTCAGGGCGCCGCAATATCCGAAGGGGATGCGGCTGCGGTGTGCCCGCCCGCCTTGCGAGGTCCAAGTAGCCTGTCCTCGCGCGGGTGAGATCGCGAGAGAATCATCAGCAATTTCCTCCTCCTCCTCCTCCTCCTCCTCCTCCTCCTCCTCCTCCTCCTCCTCCTCCTCCTCTCCCCTCCCCCTCCTCCCTCCCCCCCCCCCTCACCCCTTCCCCTTCCCCTCCCTCCCCCTCCCCTCCCCTCTCCCCCTCCTCCTCCCTCCTCCTCTCCTCCTCCTCCTCCTCCCTCCTCCTCCTCCTCCTCCTCCTCTCTCACTCTCCTCCTCCTCCTACCTCCTCCTCCTCCTCCTCCTCCTCCTCCTCCCTCCTCTCCTCCTTCCTCCTCTCTCCTTCTCCTCCACCTCCTTCTCTCTCCTCCTCCTCCTCCTCCTCCTCCTCCTCCTCCTCCTCCTCCTCCTCCTCCTCCTCCTCCTCCTCCTCCTCCCCCTCCTCCTCCTCCTCTCCTCCTCCTCCTCCTCCTCCTCCTCCTCCTCCTCCTCCTCCTCCAGGCTGCGAGGAATCGCCCGCGTGCCCGCCGCGTGCACGCAACGATGTGCGACAGGGTATCGCAGGAGCCCGCCTGCCGTGTGGACCCCAGAGGGAGGGAGGGGCGGAGGCCGCGGATGCGAGAGGGGAAGGATCTGAGCCAGGGGAGGAGGAGGAGGAGGAGGAGGAGGAGGAGGAGGAGGAGGAGGAGGAGTAGGAGGAGGAGGAGGAGGGGAAGGAGGAGGAGGAGGGAGGAGGAGGAGGAGGAGGCGGAGGAGGAGGACGAGGAGGAGGAGGGGGGAGGAGGAGGACGAGGAGGATGCGGGGGGGGGAGGAACGCGAGGAGGAGGGGGAGGGGAAGGAGGTGAGCGCAGAAGCACGGGAATGAAGGGGCGGAAGGGACTCGTGAAACCCGCTGTAGGCGAGAGGGCGCCTGCACCCGGGGAGATGCCCCCGATTGATGCCGGTCTGGTCTCGTCGCAAAGGCGGGCCGCCCGATGGCTGTCATACTGGGGGAGCGCGCATCGCAGGCCCAAGGCTCTCTGGGCCCGAAGGTCTCTCCCCCACCACCGCCGTGTGGGTAGCCGCCGTCGCTGTGGAGGGGAGGACGGGGCATGGCTCGCGGGCAAAGAACGGTACATAATAAACTGTCCCGCCGTCGGGGGCGCCTGCCCCCCTGGGCGGCTGTGAAGCGCATGCCCCTTCGTGGCGCCGTAGGGGTACAGACTTTGCAGCCGCCAGGGGGGGGCAGGCGCCCCCGACGGCAGAGAAGTCGATGCTGCATCGTTCTTCGCCCCCCCGAGATGGGGAGGGGCAGTGGAGGGGGGGGAGAGGGGCGGGAGAGGGGGCGTGGGCGGGCGAAGGGAGGGAGAGGAGGCGAGGAGCCCGGGCGGCGGAGGAGAAGCGGCACGGGGGGCACGTGAGGGGGGGGGAACAGCGGGGGAGGGGCGGAAGGGATGAACGGAGGAGGAGAGGCAGTGGATGGAGGGGAGCGGGCGACAGGATGTGGAGGCTGGTTCCGGGCGCAACGACTTTGCTCAGCTGGCCAGCTTCTGCTGGCCATGAGTTGGTGTCGGACAGGAGACCGCGCCCTGCACGCAGGCGCGAGCAACCCCACCCCCCACCGACGAGAGGACGAGGGGCCGAGGGGAGACTTTGATGTCTGGCGCGCCCATGCGCGGGATGAGGGGGGTGGCAGCAGCAACACAAGAGTGTGTGGGGGGGAGGAGGCGGACGGGAGGAGGAGGAGCGAGGAGGAGGAGCGAGGAGGGAAAGACAAGGCAGGAGGGGACGACGGGAGGGAGGAAGGGAAGGGGCGAAGCGGAGGAGGAGGAAAACCAGTGAAAACCCAAGGTCCGTCAACGGCGTTGCGAGGAACCCTCCGTTCAAGTTCCCTCGTATCAGATCCCTGCAACATGTTTTGTTCACCGCTATGTCCCGTTGGACGATAACCTTTGGATAATCCTCAATCGCGCCAAGAGACCACTTCTTGGAACTCAACGCCACGAATACTGTCAGACAATCGTTTCTTGAACTTCAACAGCGCGAATGAACGTGACTGTCGCGCCTTGACAATCCTAAAACATGTCGGAACACTATTCCTGGGGTACCAGCCATAAAAACCGTTGAACGGCTGTGAAATTTGGAAACGAATGCGCTCGGGGCTACTGCGACAACCACATGTTGAAGACCACTCGTACTCCATCCGTGAAGCTCTTGCATACATTTCAAGGAGATGTGCGCGGAACTATGGCGAGAACCACACTTTGAGAACCACCCGCCCTCCGTCTTTGAAGCTCTGCCACGCTGGAAGACACACGTGCGCGTCGCTACATCGACAACCATATTTTGAACAAGAACCGCCCTCCACACTTTTGGAGCAACTGTGTGCGGCGCGGTGGCGAGAACCACACTTTGAGAACGACCCGCCCTCCACACGTGCAGCTCTTGCAGACTTGTAAGACGAGTGTACGGTGCTGAGCTTAGTGGGCCCTGGAAACGACAGGGCCGTTCTTTTACCGGTTCCGTTTTGATGTTTTGTTTTGCCGCTTGCGACGCCGTTTTTTTACCGGTTACCGCTCCAATCTCAATCCTGGAGCCGTTTTTGTTGTCGTTTCAGGTCGCCGTTTCTTTGCCGTTTCCATTTTCAAGGGACACTTTTTCGGAAATGGTGAAAAAACGGCACTGTCTTTTCCGGGGCCCACTAAGGCGCAGAGGATATAACACAATCTTGAAGACGATCCGTGCTCCATCCGTGAAGCTCGTGCTTTCAAGAATAATGTGCGCGGCGCTTACGTAAGCCAGAATCACACATTGAAAAGAAGCGGTCATCAATCCGTGAAACTCTTGCAATCGTTTACGACAAAATCGAACGACACTGAACTGAGAACAACATGTTAAAAAACAGCCGCCCTCAATCCGTGAAAATCTTGCCATCTGCTACGACGAATCCGCGCGGCACCACGGCGAGAACCACATGTTGATTGAAAACCACCCGCCCTCCATCCGAGACACACTTGCGAACTTTCAAGACGAGTGTGCGCGGCGCCATAGCGAGAACCACATCTGCACAACCCGTCCGACCTCCATCCAAGAAGCTCCTGCAACTTGAAAGACGAATGTGCTCGGCGACACAGCGCGAACCACATGTTGAAAACGACCCGCCCTCCGTCTGTGAAACTCTGGGAGGTATACGCTCTGGGACCATGACTGGTGTGGAAATATCAAGACGAAAACGCCCAGCCCGCCCTACCGAAAGGGAAGAGGGCGGAGTAGGACGAAGACGACGACGAAGGACGGGGAGCAGCCGCAGCAGGGCGAGGAGGGAGGAGAGAGGGGCACAATGAGGCAGGATAGGGAAGAGGCGCAGCCGCAGGATGAGAGAGGGATGGGGGGGAGGGAGGGGTGGAAGGCGGGGGACGGGGCGGGAGGGAGGGAGGGAGGAGCGGGGAGAGGGCGTCAGAGGAGACGGGGAGAATGCGACGGAGCAGCAGCAGCAGGAGCATCCGGAGCGCTCTCGCCTCTGACACCGTCGCTCCGAACTCCATACACCGCGCCTGCCACAACCGACGATCGACCAGGACATAAACCCGTGAGCCGCTGTCTCCTCCCTCCTCCCCCTCCGACGCTGTCACGCGGACACGGCCTCCAAAACCCCTGGTAGGAGGAGAGGGTTTGGACGGGAAGAAGGGAGGACAATGCAACATGGCAGCATGGCGATCAAGAACACACACGGGGGAGAAACAAGTGAAAACAGTCCGTTGCCGCAGGGGGATGTCTTGGAGAGGACGGCCACGTGATATCAATGACGACGACGACGACGCCCACGAGCAGGCCCAGGGCGCTGCTGCGTGACGGTCTCCCCATTGGCATTTCTTACTCAGCATCCTGACTGTGGATGGGAATTCGTGAAGGGATCCCAGATGGGGGCCGGGGCAGATTGTCTCAAAAGATCGCGCCACATCGCCGATGCATCGGCCACGCCGGGATGTAGAACATCGAGCTCCGAATTAGGCCGATCCTCCGACTCCATGAACTGGGACACCGCTTGGGGGGCCTGGAACAATGAGGGGGATATGGGGCAGCCAGGAAAGATGGCGTCAATCGACCTGTGAGAAATACACGTGACAACTCCAACGAGTGAAGCAACGGGATGTCCTCCGCCACCACAGCGTACCACCCAAAAATACGAACGAGGAACATAAGCGACGACGGTCACGAGGGACGGCACAGCCGATTCCCCAACGCCCCGCGTCTGACTACCCTGGAGACTTCCTCCTCCATAGTCCTTCACATCATCATCCTTGTTCCGCGGTTCTTCTCCTCCATTCCTCACCTGTCATCCTGCTCATCCCAATGTTCCCCTCGCTGCGGAGGAGGTAGGGAGGAGGAGGAGGAGGAGGAGGAGGAGGAGGAGGAGGAGACGGTAGAGGAGGAGGAGACGGTAGAGGAGGAGGATCAAGAGGAGGAGGGGGAGCAGGAGGATGGGGGGGAGGAGGAGGAAGAGGAGGCGGCAGGAAGGAGGCAGGGGAGAGGAGGAGGAGGCAGAGGGAGACAGACGAGGAGGTAGGGAGGCGGAGGAGGTAGGGAGGCGGAGGCGGAGGCGGAAGGGAAGGAGGAGGAGGAGGATGAGGAGGAGGAGGAGAAGAAGGAGACGGAGGAGGAGGTGGGGAGGAGGAGGAGGAGTAAGAGGAGGAGAAGGAGAAGGAGGAGGAGGAGGAGGAGAACGAGGACGAGGAGCGGGAGGAGAGGAGGAGGATAAGGATGAGGTTGTGGAGGAGGAGGAGGAGGAAGGAGAAGGAGGAGAGAGGGAGGGGGAGGGGGGAGGAGGAGGAGGAGGATGAGAAGGAGGAGGAGGAGGAGGAGGAGAAGGAGGAGAAAAGGGAGGAGGAGGAGGTGGAGGAGGAGGGGTAGTGGGAGGAGGGGTAGTGGGAGGAGGAGGAGGAGGAGGAGGACGAGAAGGAGGAGGAGCAGGAGAAGGTGGCGAGGAGGAGGAAGAGGAGGATGTGGAGGAGGACGATAAGGAGGAGGAGGAACCCACAGAAGGGCACC